AGGGAGGCTTTGGGGATCTTCCCTTCCTGTTGCAGTATCACACAGGATGAAAAGAAACATGGCAAAGAGGAATGTGGAACATACAAACTATGAACCAAGGAAAATGGCAAGTCATCAAAAATGAAATGGAACAGTTGAAGATCGGTATCTTAGGCATCGTTGTTGCTGTTGTTATGTGCCGTCAAGTCAGATCCGACTCATAGCAACCTGTCACGTTTCCAAGGCGGTATCACTACAGATGTAGATTGCCCAACTTTCCTTCCGAGAAGTGTCTGGTGGGTTTGAACCGCCAGCCTTCTGGTTAGCAGTCAAGTGTCTTAGGCACTACACCACCAGAGCTCCCAGACCAATAACTAGTTCTATGGAAACATCTTTTTCAACATAAACAGCGACTACACATGTGGACCTGCCCACCCACAAACACAGGCATCATCAAACCGACTCCTTCTGGGAAGAGGCGACAGTGAAGCTCAGCATCAGCAGGTGAAAGAGGCCAGTGCCGGCTGCAGAGCAGACCATCAACGCTCACATGCAAGTCCAAGTTGAAGATGAAGACTCAATCAAAACTAGTCCAAGGGAGCCAAAGTACAACTGTCAATATATCCCAGTGGAATTTAGAGACCGTCTTATGTACAGATAAAATCCAGAGTGAGTCCAGTGTCACCTGCCTCCCAGGATTAGTGCAAGGATGATGAGAGCGCGTGCTGAGAAGGGCACAGGGCCTGAGAAGTGTCAGTGCGGTGCTAACTGCAACCGCCCTCTGACCACCACCACCCAGCACAAGACACAGCACCTCAGCAGACAAAGCCACAACCAATGCCAGACAGGGCAGTGCCCACCGGGAGGCCAGAGGCTAAGGCTGGATGCCTGGAACTGAATTCTGACTTTCCCATCTGCAAAAAGGGCAAGGAAGCCACATGTTCTGACCTCCTCTAATCCCACAAGAGGAAGACAGAATCACCAGCAATAGCCCAAGGCCTATTCCTGCCAGGCCAGCCATGCTGCCTCCCTCCAGCCTTTTCTCCAACTGTTTCTCCCAAAGCACCCACCACCTCTCTCCTGAGTTCGGTAATTCCCTGCAGTGGCCACACAGAACTCACAGATTATGGAGTTTATTAGGGAAGCACCAGGCTACAATTCAAGTTCAGGAAGAACACTCAGTCTCTCTCCCAGCCCACCATCTCTCAGCCAAGTCTCTCCCCCAGCAGTGCACGTCCCTCGTGTCTTACTCAGCAATGCGTGTCTCTTGCGTCTCTTTCCCAGCAGCACGTGTCTGTTTCAAGTAGCGTGTGTCTCTTTCAGCAGGACGTCTTCCTCAACCAGCAGTCAGAGAGAGTTCTGCCTCTAGAAGGCCTCCTTTTGAGCCTGGCAGAGTGGCCAAACTAGCCAATCATAGCATCAGAACTCTAAGCACCTGAGAGAGAGTGGGCACCTCCAAAAACATTGTTTTGTGCCACTCCCAACAGAAATACTACAGGTGGACAACTTTAGCAATCAGGAGCTCCTCAGTTGCTCATAGCAAATCCCACCTTGGAGTTTACAAAGACTTATGGGTAGAAAAGCCACACTAAGTAATTTACTACACCACACCATCTACCAGCTATGTTATCTTGAGCAAGTACAAACCTCTCTGTGCCTGTTTCCCCATGGAATACCTGAGAAAACAACTTTGTCCCCTAAGGCCCCAGCACAGAGTGGGAAGTACTGTCGATAATGGAAAAACAGGTTAGCCATTTTCGTAATTAAAAAAATGCAAACACCAGCAAGGGCATGAGATTTCTTATTTATTTATTTATTTATTTTTATTAGGATTTGGGTGAAGATTTACAGAGTAAATTCACTTTTCATACAGCAGTTCACATAT